TATACTTATGTATATTTGTATGTATATATTAATATATACATATTGTTTCCTTAGCTTTTTCCTGATGTGTCTTTATAATTCCTTTTCCTTAGAAGTGAGGTGTGTGTCGGTGTCTTTTATCTGTAAAATTTTGTTATTATCATTTGTTCAATTTGTTTTATAAAAAATTTTTTTTTTTTTTTTGAGAATGTATTGTGTTGGAAGTGTGTATGTGTTTTTTTTTTTGTTACTTTTTTTTTATATACCCTTCTATACCCTTGCGCGATGCAGTTTCCGATATGGCAACAATTTCTTCTTGTTTGTGTTTTGATTTATTCCCTTTTTTATTTAACCTTGAGATTCACCAAATACCCTTGCACGATGCAGTGGTCTTTGGAATTTCCCTGTTTGTTTACTTTTCTGTGATGTTGTCCATCGATTACCCTTGCGCGATGCAGTGGTACTAATGGCAACAACTAATAAAATGTTTTTTTTTTTTTACACTTTCTTTTATTTTTCTTGCGTCGTGCTGAAGCTAACTGGAATTCCTGCGCGATGCATTTATTCCAGCCACGAGCGGACAGTCACTTGCAATAGATATTTTCTTTTATTTTTTATTTATTTATTTTTTTTTTTTTCATTTATTGACCGGCAGAGTATCCAACCAGCGACCTGGGTTTTTTTTCCCAAGCTGCATGTTTGATGTTCGCGTCCAACATCGAACCTTCGAACTTCATACTCGCAACTCACTCCGTCGAACTATATGGTTCGATGACGTTGCAGGTCGCCAGGTTGCGTTGCAACGAGATTCACAGTCACCATTATTTAATTAAATTTATTCTTGTTAATTTTCTTTGTTTTTGTTTCATTTTATGCCTTTCAATTTTATCGTTATTATGTATGTGCACCCTTTCTTGTTTTTATTTACACCACACACCTCACTTCCATCACATCACTATTTTAACTTAGTGTTGCATATAAATTATAAAAAAAAAATAATCGTTTTCATCATTTCGGTCCTTCTCAGTTCTCCGGGTATGGTGTGTCCTTTTTCTCCTTCCGGCTGATAGGTCCGGCTGCGCCAGTTATAGTATGTAATTGTTAGTGGTGGTGGTAGTCATCCAATATTCAGATAAGATTTAAATAAACAGTTGATGTGTTCGCTTTGGTTGTTCCAAACGGAATAATTTTATTGTGGCTTGAGATTCAAATCAAACCTCCGCCAAAGAATTTTATGTGTTTTACAATTATGTATGTGTGTGTAAGTAAATGCTAACAAAGTATTTTCTAGAGCTCTGCTGAGTGGGTGTCGTTTAGCAACATCCTGCCTTGTGCTGATGTTGCATTTCTTATGTGGGACAACGAACGGCCAGCTGCCGGTCGCTGTCCAGTTCAAAGAGGGTAGCACGGGGAGGTTTAGGCGGTGGCGTAGTCGATGGTACCGGTATGGTAACTCGTGCAAAGGAAAGAAGGGTGTGTGCAAAGTTTCAATTCGATATCTTTAAAACTGAGAGACTAGTTCGCGTAGAAACAGACAGACGGACAGACAGACGGACATGGCTATATCAACTCAGGAGGTGATCCTGATCAAGAATATATATACTTTATAGGGTCGGAGATGTCTCCTTCACTGCGTTGCACACTTTTGACCAAAATTATAATACCCTCTGCAAGGGTATAAAAATCGGACAACAATATCATATAAACGATGGCCAAATGCAGCGCAAAATCGACATAGCTTCATTGTTTTTAGTAATATAGGCATATAAATCGAAATTAAGTCGTTTTGTAAACGTTTGCCGAAGTCTGCTTTCTTTCTTGTTTCTGTAATAAGTGCAAGGGTATATAAACTTCGGCTTGTCGAAGTTTGCTTCCTTTCTTGTTTTTCTTGTGATAGTCAGTTTGGTGGTATTTCACAAAAACGGTGATATATAGAAATTATAATAATTACAACGAATAACGAATTAAACATGATACCAGTAAATGGTTTTAAATTTAATTGAATAATACAAAATTGGAATTTCTCGATAAAAATGGTCGGACCACACTTTTTTAGGTTGTCAAAAAAGTCTTGTGGTATTTTTTGCTAGTTCTCGCTGGAAGCATACTGCATATTTTACGGTACTACTACGATAAAGGCAAAAATGCATCTCAAGCCGCCCATAAAATTTATGCAGTTTATGGACCCAATACAGTTTCCATTTCCACCGCACAACGATGGTTTCAACGTTTTCGTTCTGGTGTAGAGGTGGTCGAAAATGCGCCTGTCGTCGAAAATTACGATAAAATCGCTGAATTGGTCGAAAGAGACCGGCATAGTAACAGCAGTAGCATCGGTCAAGAGCTGGGCATGAGTCATCAAACTGTTATAAACCATTTGAAGAAGCTTGGAGTCACTAAGAACCTCGATGTATGGGTGTCACACTAATTGACGCAAAAAAATCTTTGACCGTATCGACGCATGCGAATCGCTTCTGAATCGCAACAAAATCGACCCGTTTTTTATCAGGATCGCGTACTGAGGTTGATATAAACTTGTCCGTCTGTCTGTTTCTACGCGAACTAGTCTCTCAGTTTTAAAGCTATCGAATTGAAACTTTGCTCACACCCTTCTTTCCTTTGCACGCAGTATATAAGTCGGAACGGCTGGGATCGGCCGACTATATCCTATAGCTGCCATATAACTAAACGATCGGAAATGCAATAACTTTAGTGTTTTTAAAGTTAGATAGTTGGAATTTATGGGTTTTATATTTAGCCAATCAATCCGACCTACCAAATTTCATAAGGATCGGCCGACTATATCCTATAGCTGCCAAATTACTAAACGATCGGAAATACCATAACTTTGGTGTTTTTAGAGTTAAGAAGTTGGGATTTTTTATGAGTATTAAGAATGCATTATATGCATAGTTTTGGAGAATATAATTTACCGAATATTCTGCAAGGGTATATCAACTTCGGCTCCGCCCGAAGTTAGCTTTTATTTCTTGTTTTACCTAGGTAAGGTAAAAGGTAACTCAAAATATTATTTTACGTACTTCGTAGGTGCAAGTATTTAGGTACATTTTAACACTGATAGTCAGTGAATCTTCTCAACGCTTAGGGCAAGCTTGCACCTTGTGAGGTCAAAAAAATCAATTTTTTTTTGCAGTTTCGGATAGATACATGTTTCAATTTTACTCTCCTAAAATTTCAAGTCGAAATCTCTTGAATTACGAAAGTTATCGGCCGTTTGGTGGACCGGATATACATTGTTGCCATTATAGTGCAAATTTTCAAACGCGTTTTTCTCGAAACCATGTTTTTCGAGTTGGCGGAAGTCGTACGAGTCGCAAAAATTGAGCAATCGTCATGAAATTTTTTATACATGTTCCTCAGAAGTATGTGCATGTCTGGAACTAGGATCTTTTGAAAATATTAAAAATTGTTTATTTAAAAAAATAATGAGTAACGAAAAAATGAGGAAAAAACCGATTTTTTTTTCAAAAGCTCATAATTTTTGCATTTTTCATGTTTTTTTAATTATCCCAGTTCAAGCCATGCGAACAAGTGTACAGATTTAAAATATATAATATATATAAAATATATAAAAATCAGGTTTTGGGGGCCAACAAGGTGCAAGCCTGCCTTAAATGAACGCCATGACCGCCCAATACATATCGTCAACTCCTTGCTGCACAATTGTATAGGTCTGGCTGCTGCCCTCAACGTCGAGGTGTCCCATTTTCACTGATGGAGCCGCCTTAATGAAAGGACAGTCGCCTTACTTTAATTGTCTACGGACAGACCATTGATCTACACAATGACAATCAAAACATTCTTGCAAGCATTGCAATGGCCAACATCACACACTCGTAAATCCTGAAAACATGGATGTCACATCAATTGTTCCTGCAGACACTGGGCAAGTCAACCTGTAACCCTCTAAAGGTAGCTCAACACTTAAAAGAAGCACATTACTACATAATTATATTCGCCCCACCACCCTTTTCTAGAAAAGAAGCTGCGCGTGGTATTTGACAGGTCATTTAAAGACACAACCGGCCACAAATGACGTCTTTCATATCTTTCTTCGTTTTCAAATGCACAAGTTTATTTATTTTCGGCGGACATATGTTTCGCCATATATGGGTAGCCCCTGATTATCGTAACTTTTAATGAATCGTATAGAGAGAAGATCGCAGTGACTCTCCTACGCACTTCCAACTCTGAACTGTTACCAATGGAACAAGCTGTGCATCGTTTCTTGCAGTCAGAGTACTGGAACAACTACCTCGAGATAGCCAGGATGCGTTCTACGTCGTCTCCAAAATATTCTTGGAAAACTATCGGCGCTGCGGACAGGTACTACAAGATTATGTAGATCATACCCTGAATACGTTTTTCTTTGAATGGGGGACAAGTATCCTAGAAGTCTGAGAAACATTGATGGTATTAACTCGATTGGTTATCGAAATTGGATGCGGAGCTTCAGATTCTGCAATTGTATTGCACGTCATCACTTTATTCGGGAAATCGTTTAAAACATAAATTTTTATTTTGTTAAATTAAGGGATAATAATTAATTTGTATGATCTTGACTAATAAATCAAATGATAAAACTTATTTGTTAAATTTCTATAACAGCGTGCACTACATACAGGGTTGGATCCGAAATAATAAGCACTATCTTATTAGGGAAAAACAGCGCCATAAAAACAGTTTTAAGGGATTAGCTTTTAAACCGTATAGAAACCAACGGACCATAGCCATGTCAACTCGTCTAGCTGATCAAGAATTTATTTACTCTATAGAGTCGGAAATAATTTCTTCATTGCGTTTCAAACTTCTGAATAAAATTATATTTCCATCGTCAAGGGTATAAAGCCGTGATCTCTCTTCTGTGTAAATAAACTCAAATTTATCTACTTACCACCAACAATTTCAATTTTTAACCCTTATCCTAAAACTAATATAGTTTTTATATCAAAATGAATATTTTGTTGGTAAAATTTTTAATTTTTTTATTTTATTTTCAGGGCTGGTTTAGTCCTGGTCAAGTGTTCGTGCTGGACGAATATTGCGCCCGTTACGGTGTACGAGGATGTTACCGACATTTATGTTACCTTTCTGATTTACTAGATCGCGCTGAAAAACAACACATGATAGACCCAACTCTAATACACTATTCTTTCGCGTTTTGCGCGAGTCATGTTCACGGAAATCGGTATAATTTATTTATAGTGATAAGCTTTAAGAAATGAATAACAATAAATTTTACAGGCCTGATGGGGTAGGCAGCATAACGCATGAAGAGAAAGAGAAATTTTCTGAAATTAAGGAACGTCTTCGTCAGTTACTGGAGTTTCAAATAACAAATTTTAGATATTGTTTTCCCTTCGGTCGCCCAGAGGGTGCACTTAAAGCGACATTGTCTTTGCTAGAGAGGGTTTTAATGAAAGACATTGTTACACCGGTTCCACCTGAGGAAGTTCGTCAAATGATTAAAAAAAGCTTAGAGACAGCAGCGCTTGTAAATTACACTCGTCTTTCTAATAAGGCTAAAATTGAAGGTAAGAATAAATATGTATTTGACCTTAAAAATATACGTTTAAATAAAATAGCTAAAACTACTCTCCTGGTGATGCTTATCAAGAATAATTTACTTTATAGATTACTTTTTTCTGTGTTCCAAAACTTGTACTAAAATTATAATACTCAGAAAGGATATAAAAAAAGATATCTAAACCGGGCTTCCCAACTTTAGTTTTCTAATATAACCCTTTTCTACTTTCACTGCAATTTTTCCTGACCAAATTGATTTGTGATTTCAATGAGCTTTTACCAACAGTTCATCTATTAGATTTTGCACATTTTTTTTCTTAGTTCCAATCGCCTCAAGTGAGAACTTACCGAAGACCGAACCTTACACCTTGGGAACCATACACGAAAATGCCTTATTAATTCAATTAACTTTTTCTCAAAAAAATTGATTCGAAAATGATTTCGAATGATATAAAATCTATTGGACTTACAACTGTATGAACCTAACCATTTTATAAAATGTTGGCAAGCCGAAGTCTATATATATCGCCGTAGCTGAAAAAATATATATATTATGTGTTATAACATATTAACATTTCAATAAGCTGTGTGTACTTTCCGACACGTTTTTGTAGCATATTGCCTTTACGTATGTTATTTTCTTTGCGGACAAGTCAGCAATTTGAAAAAAATGACGTTTTAAAGTTTTAAAGCTATCTGCTTGAAAATTTCCCAAAAGTTTTCTTTCTATTCAAAAAAATTATAACTTTGTTTTTAATTTTTTTTTATTGTTTTTTAAGATATGGTAATATTTAAATAATATGAAATTACGCTTTTAATTAAATTAAAATCTAACAACAATATCATATAGCTGCCAAAGAGACGATGGCAAAATGCAGCCCAAAATCGACATAGTCTCATGGTTTTTAGTAATATGGTCATAGAAATCGAAATTTAGTCGATTTAAAAACTGCAAGGGTATATAAATTTCGGCTTGTCCAAGTTTGCTTTCTTTCTTGTTATTAAAAAAAACTGATTATTATAGAAGATTATCTATTAAGCGCGTTCACAGCAAATTTGTAATACTTAAAATATATAAAAAATAAAATTAATTAGCAATTTAAAAATGGTTTACTCGTCCACAGAGGATTTGCGAGGTGAAGTTATTGTTCCAGCCCCAAAAAAACTAGAGGATTTAATACACTTAGCAGAACTTTGTGTTGATTTGTTGCAACAAAATGAGGAACATTATGGAGAAGTAAGTAAATATATTTATTATAAGAATTATTCGTTTGCCCATGCTTTTTTACAGAATAAAATTTAAGTACGTATGTATAGATAGATATGTACATAAATGTATGTAATGTGTAATGATAATGTATGTGATTATAACCAACCTATTGTTTATTATAATGATATTCAGAACTTTAATTCTACTTTTTAAGTTACGGTATATGGGTAGTCGAGGTGAGAATATTGAATAAATAAATTCGAAGTAATTTTTGTATTTGTTTTACGGCTTGCTTTTCATGATGTATTTTATTTAACTCCATATGCTTACTTTTGTTTTGTGATTTTATATTGTCATAAACCGTTTGTTGCTTGTGTGTATAATGTATTTTATTGTGTGTTATAATAATGATTAATATAAAATGTATTATATTATTATATATTTGTAAATGGCTAAATGATTGTTGTTTGTGGCGTTTGCGACAAGAAATTTTGCACCTTTTCCTTATATCTGTAGATATCAAAATACGGTATGATTGTGGTGTTTCTACAAATAAGACATTGTACAAATTCTATTTAAAAATTCAACAAGACCATATACACAGGAAATATATAAGACGAAGGGTTAAAATTAAGTCTCCCAGTATTTTAATATGTCTTTGTTTATATTATTATTATGCAATTCGATTTATTATTTTATTTTGTAATTGTAACTCTTTTTAAATAATTAAGCATTAAATCTTACAATATTTTCTTCAAACTAAACAAAAATGTTGTCTATTTTTTTCCATTAAGTCCCTCCATTTTTTAATTCAATAATTAGTCATTCCTCCATCCGGTACAGTTCTCTAACCGACATTTTTCACATTGCACCAAGTTGACTAAACTAAAAATTCGATCATATCTTATCGGCTGAAATTATCTATAATTTATGAACATTTAATATATGTTTTCGTAACACAGGAAACGAAAACATGCATCGGGAGTACAAGGTTGATGATGGGAATTGCCGAGCCTCTTGATCAATAATTTCAGTAGTTTTAATGAATTAAAACTGAAACAGGAAGCGAAAACATGCTTTGGTAATCCCAGATTAATGATGGGAACTATGGAGCCAATGTCCGTACGAAAGATTTGGGACACTATAGGGGAGAGCTTTAAAATGTAAATTAATAAAACAAAAAAGAGATAAGAATATTTGTGCATTAAATTGTCTGTTGGTTGGGACACTTTTAAACATCAATAAAAACTTTTAGAAAATAACGTTGTAATAAACAATATCTTGCTTAAGCTTAGCTTGAAACACTTTTGTTAAAAGTTTAGTCATTAAAAAGTATTACATTTGAAAAAAAAAATCTATATAAAATATATAATTCAGTGTAATGTATAAACCAACAAAAAAAATTTTCAAACACTTAAAAAATAAAATAATTTGACACACAATCTTGTGATTGACCCCGGGTCCGAGGTGCGAGCCGAAAGGGGTAAGGATTAGTTCGGCACGGTTACAAAATATTTATCGAGATCTGTACTTTCAATCAAAAGTTTCCGACGCAGTAAAGGAGACATTTCCGACCCTATATATAAAAACGTAGTTTCTTTTAATGTTTTTTCGTCACAAAAAGTTCGTTCGAAATTTTTTATGCTGAAGGCTCAACTTTTCGTCACGACTTTATTATCTCTGTCTGGTTTTGAACTCTAAATTTAATGATAAATAATTATTTATCACTATTAACATAAAATTTATTGGAGGACTAGTAAATATAAAGTCTGAAAATTATTTTCATATTTACTTAGAGAAATGTTCGAGCTGTTAGCACGCTTCACTAGCGAGTTTTTTAAACCCGGTTTCCAACTCGAACTCTTAAATATAGTAGCGTGGCAAATATTCCATTTAAAAACATTTAACCGAAGTATTCAAAGCATATTTAGATCAAAAACGCAATGAAAAAGTATGGTATCCGGCCCAACAGTTCAAACTTTTTACATTTTTAATATCACTTTTATCGCTATTTCTCTTGAACCAGTCTCCTGAAATAAAGTCTTGGTATGTACCCCTCATGGTTAGAACAATACCTTTCGATCACACGTTTTGATCGGGCAAACACAACAGATTCAATTAATATTTCAATTGTTCCCATAGGTGTTATATGATACAGTACTTTGAATTTTATAAAATTAAAATTTATTATTCCCTTGCAGAGAGTATATTATAATTTCATTCAAAAGTTTGCAAACGCATTGAAGGAGACATTTCCGACCCTATACAGTGTATATATTCTTGATCAGCATCATCAGGAGAGTCGATCTTGCCATGTCCGTCTGTCCGTCCGTCCGTCTGTCCGTTTCTACGAAAACTAGTCCCTCAATTTTAATGCTATCTGCTTGAAACTTTTCCAAAAATTTTCTTTCTATTGCAGGTAGTATATAAGTCGGAACGAGCCGGGTCAGACGACTATATCATATAGCTCCCATAGGAGCAATCGCAAAGAAAGGAAAGCTAACTTAGGGCGGAGCCGAAGTTGATATACCCTTCCAGAATATTCTGTAAATTATTTTCTCCAAAATTATTCATATGATGCATTCTTAATACTCATAAAAAATCCCAACTTCCTAACTTAAACAAGAGAGAACGCTATAGTCGGGTGCCCCGACTATCAGATACCCGTTACTCAGGTAAAGGGAGTGCGAGGGAGATAGAGATAGAAACTTTGATCACGCATAACTTTTTAACGAATGGTCCGATTTGAAAAATTTCTTCTACATTTCGATAGGTATTGATAAACACAATAAAACTGCATTTTTACTTTTCCGAAATATTTAAATTTTTAAAATCGTATATAAGCGATTGTGGGCGATAAAGGGGGCGTGGCACCTTTTTGAAACAAACTTGCGCTGCGTAGGAACTCCTAGAATCTGCATGCATGCCAATCTTCTAGCTTTTATAGTTTCCGAGATCTCAGCGTTCATACGGACGGACGGACAGACAGACGGACAGACGGACATGGCTATATCGACTCGGCTAGTGACCCTGATCAAGAATATATATACTTTATAGGGTCGGAAACGCTTCCTTCTAGCTGTTACATACTTTTGCACAAATACAATATACCCTTTTACTCTACGAGTAACGGGTATAAAAACACTAAAGTTATGGCATTTTCCATCGTTCAGTTATATGGCGACTATAGGGTATAGTCGGCCGATGTCGGCCGTTTCGACTTATACATATACTGCGCGCACAGGAACGAAGGGTGTGTGCATTTCAATTCGATATTTTTAAAACTGAGAGACTAGTTCGCATAGAAACAGACGGAAAGACAGACGGACATACAGGCAGACGGACAGACGGTCATGCTTATATCAACTCAGGACGTGATCCTGATCAAGAATATATATACTTTATAGGGGCGGAGATGTCTCCTTCACTGTATAACAAGAAAGGAAGCAAACTTCGGCAAGCCGAAGTTTATATACACTTGCCGTTATTACAAATCGACCACATTTCGATTTATATGCCTATATTACTAAAAACAATGAAGCTATGTCGATTTTGCGCTGCATTTTGCCATCGTTTCTATGGCAGCTATATGATATTGTTGTCCGATTTTAATTTAATTAAAACCGTATCTCAATAATATTTGAATAATCCCAAAGAACAAAAAAAAATAATTAAAAACAACAAAGTTATCATTTTTTTCTGATTGCTCCTATGGGAGCTATATGATATAGTCGACCGATCCGGCTCGTTCCGACTTATATACTACCTGCAATAGAAAGACAACTTTTGGGGAAAGTTTCAAGCAGATAGCTTTAAAACTGAGGGACTAGTTTGCGTAGATACGGACAAACGGACAGACTGACAGACGGACGGACAGGCGGGCATGGCTAGATCGACTCTCCTGGTGATGCTGATCAAGAATACCTTATAGGGTCGGATATGTTTCCTTCACTGCGTTGCAAACTTTTGACTGAAATTATAATAGCCTCTGCAAGGGTATAATGAAAAATTGTATTTTGCTGTTTTTCTATTCATCAAAATATTGCTTTGAGATATAGTAATTACTTACTATATCAGAATTACGCTTTTAGTTTTGTCAAAATCGGACATAGAAACGATGGCAAAATGCAGCGCAAAATTGACATAGCTTAATTGTTTTTAGTAATATGTTTAGTAATAGCTGAAAGTGTATATAAATTTCGGCTTGCCGAAGTTTGCTTCATTTCTTGTTTTACATTAATTGTCGTATTTATTTTATTTTAACAAAATCAAATTTACATTTTGGCTTTTTATACCTTTGCAGAGCGTATAATAATTTTAGTCAAAAGTTTTCCACGCAATGATGGGCACATTTCCGACCCTGTAAAGTACATTATACTATATATTTTTTTTTGATCAGCATCACTAGGCGAGTCGATCTAGCCATTTTCGTCCGTCTGTCTGTTTCTATCCAAACTAGTCACTCAGTTTTAAAGCTATTTGGATGAAACGTTGCAAAGTCTATCAGGTAGTACAAAAGTTGCAACGGGCCGGATCGGCCTACTACTATAAAATTATAAATTCGTTGTTCCTTCACATATATACATATACTCCGAGTTATAGTATTTTTTACTTATTTCAGAAATACAATTTTAGTTTTATAAAAAACAGACGACTTTATTATGCCATAGGAACAATCGGGAAAAGAGAAATAGAAATCGACCTTGCTTCATTTTTTTTAGCATCGAAATTGAAAAAAAAAATATTTATTTTTTTTTTGTAAAAGTTGCAAGGGTATATAAACTTCGGCTTGCCGATATTTTTGCTTCCTTTCGTGTTCTAATAGGTTCCAATTGTTTGAAAGTTGGAGAAAAGTGTGAATGTGATACTATATATCTGTAATTGTTTTTTTTGTAAATGAATACAAATCGTACTTACAACCATTTAACACACTATGCCCGATTTATTTAGCTGCGCAGACATGATAAAATGGATAAAAATAAAATAAGTAAGGAAGATGATGATGTACCAGGAGGCCACAATGAAAGCGATGTTGATTTTACTGCCAATACTGGACTCATTAGCACATCTGAACTGGCTACTGCGGCGTCAACTGATGGACCGTCATTTCGTTACTGCATGCCGACACATGCGGTTTATACCCCGCCAGTACCAACGGCATGTATCGTTGATTAGCATAAGTTGAATACAAATTAGATATGACAATTAACCCGCATCAGGAAATTTGGAATTTATTATTAATTCTGCACCTTCGATTTTATTTACCTATTACCTATTCGGCTTATTGTGAGATTGCAGGCACAAAGGCGCCTACAAATTAAATAACATCGTTCAGCCATTTATCCTTAAAAATACTGAATGAAATACTCAAAAATTTATCAAATAATTTCTCGGTATAACTTACCTGTTTTAAAAGGTTTTGTATTATTTTCTCAGAAGAGCAAGGTTCATTCCACCACCCGTTTCAATATGCATACACCTTACAAGGGTAATTTTATGTTTCCAAAAAGATGCAAAAAGTAAAAGTATCATGATTGATCAGCAACAATAGGATAGTCTGACATAAGCCTGTTTTTGTGTCTGTTTGGGTTTTCCTTGCAAGCTAGTATTTTAGTGCTAAACCTATTTTTCTAAAGTATTTTCATTCTGGTTAACACCTACGCGGCTTCCGGTGCTATTAGATGTTAAGTTAAATTCGTTTTATAGCAGTAAAAGGAATAGTGCCGAGTAAGCATTTGGGTTTTGGGCAGACGGACATGCTTGTATCGAATCGCCTAGTGTTCCTGTCCAATAATCTTTAACCATAACCAAAAAAATTAAAGGTGAAGTCAACGAATTTTAGGGTTGTAAAAATAACAAATTTTGACATTTAGTAAAAATGCTAACGCTGCTACAATAAAATGACTACTCGTAAAAGGAAAATTTTAGAAATGTCTCTCTTTGTTTTAGCCTTTATACCAAGATAAAAAGGTTTTGTTTTAAATTAAATCTTTCTTAACATTAATGTTTAAGAAACAATTTTTCAATTAAAGTGGCGACTTGGCCCGAAAAAAGTAAGCCAGGGATCATTGTTTGGTGTATTTAGGCAAGTGCCTAAATTAACCCCTTCAAACATTTAACATCTAGGGCACTTGCTAACTACCCGTTGATTGATGACCTAGGACCATAGCTCGTAAATAACTGTTGACCGTTTTTCTTCCTGCGCTCTCGTTGCGAGCACAACCGAAAAAGTTCATACTCTCTCGCTTTCGCTCTGAGCAAGAGACTCTTGCTGTCTTCATTTATGTTTTCTGTTGAGCGCTTTTCGCTGAGATCTTTGTATATCGCTCTTTTAATGAGCAGTGCGTAAAGAGCGGAATGAGAAACGGTCGCAAAATGAGAGCAAAAGACCGATTGACCGAAAAACTCAGTGCAAACGGTCTTCACATTTACTTTTGTTGTTGTAAAAAAGAAATAATATAATTTGTTTAATACAGAATTTTAAATTTATTTTCAAATATTTTTGTTAACAAGTTCCATTTTGATTCCATATTCCATATATCTGCAAAAACAGACGCTTAACGAAAAAAACGGGAAAGACCTTTTGCTTAAGGGGTTATCCGGGTCTTGAAACACGAAAAAAAGCCTATTTTCGTGAATTTTTTTTAAAGGTCTTACGACAATTTCACAAATTTAATTTATTGTACATTAATGTTTATGGTTTGACCAACATTGTGTAAAAATTTGAACCAAAAATTTTTAAAATTGAGCCGTTGAGGCAGGCTTGAACTTGACCTCATAAAAAATTGTGTCTTTGCGGTAGGCAAAATATCTCCGCCAATTTTTATCTGAAATCAAAAAACCAAAATTATTCTGATAGTGAATGTGTCTCGCTTGTCCTCTACGAGCCATTTTTTTTTAAAGTTAAAAGTTGAATTTTTGTAGCGCTTTTCATAAAAAGTGTAATTTTTTACGTAAATTTTGGCCATATTTTGGCTTATAAAATGAGTTGTAATTAAAAATTAAAAAAATCCCTCCGTTAAGGACAAGAGAATTATGTTTAAAAGAAGTGTGCAAAAGCAGAAGTTGATCGGTGCAATAGTCTTTGAGAAATCGTTACTACCGACTTCAAAAAAGTGGTTTTAAGAAAAACGCGTTTAAAGTGCCGCATCTGCCCGACGCCAGAGCCCGAATGGCTTGTTGTGACGTTCGACGCGCTGGGTTTTAAATTTCTCCCATTCCTACAGTTTTGCTTCGATCGACTTGAAATTTTTAGACAACATTCCTGAAACTTTGTACTATTATATAAAAAAGTTTGAAAAAAATGAATTTTTTGAAGTGTCAAGACCCGGATAACCCCTTAACTAAATACGACAAAACGGTCTTGGACCAACCAGAACCAAACAGAATAGAAATAAACGGTTTCGCTCTGAACGCGAGCGAGCTTATTCAATAACCCATAAATCGGTTGCTCTCTGAGTCTTTTCGTAAAGGGTCAGGAGAAGACACTTATTTGCAGACAACGAGAAACGGTCGACAGTTATTTGCGAGCTCTGGCTAAGACCCCTCGGCTTTCATTACTTCCTTTGTTAATTTTTTCCCATGAAAATTTGTGAAAGGGTTTTTTTTTTTTGAAGCTGCCCTATAAAAAATACAGACATGGATGTTTTCAAGAAAGATTTTAGGTGAAACTATAAACTTTTATTTCAAAGCAAAGACAGTATTTTATTATTTTTTAAAATAAGAAAATAAGGCTACTTGCATTCTCCAAAAAGTATTTATAAATTTTTCAGGTCATTATCTTTGGTTACGTTTAGAAATATATTTTTTCTCAATTTTTATATCAAATTAGCAGTTCTCAATGCGACATTTTCTGCGAGTGGTCACGCTTAGAAATTTATTTTGCGTAATAAAAACTTTTTTATTACACATCAAAGTATGAATCAAAAACACAACTTTACAACTGACGTAATTAAAACTTTTATTTTAGTGAAATAAAAAAAATGTAACTTTCTAATAGTCCGATTCCAATTGGTTTTTTTCACATTTCGCACCGCAAATTTTGTTTTACTGGGGCTCCAAAATTAAAAATGTGATCATCCAAAAAAATATACAAATACTGCTACTTACTAGTTCGACGTGACATTTCTAACTCTAAGTGCATTTGATTTTATATCGATAGTGTCGATCGATATATTGAAGTTAACGATCACGCGTCCTTAATTTCTGAAAACATAGGTGCGTGTTAAGCCTAGCTTTCTTTTAACTAACCTAAACCTTACTTGGAATTGTAACCCACAGGAAATTTAAATGCTAGCTATTAATTTCTCGTAGTAATGTTATTGGCAGCGCTTAAGGTTTTTTTACTGGATTCTACAGAGCAGCGCTCTGGGACGGGCTATATTCGTCATGCAAACACATAGCGGCCAGGGCGTGTCTGCTTTTCCATATTCCTTACTGGAGTAGATCTTAGATCTACGAAGCATGCTACATTGAAGTCCATGCGCAGAACCATATGAGTACAGGAGAAGAAGAGCTGTTCTTGGCACTTATTAAAAGTCGACCGAGCGGCTGCTTCACTCGCAGCTGCTGTACTAGGCAGCTTCATCAGCATTGCAAAAATGTTTCACCAGGTATTTATAGACTCTTAATACGCAAGTTCGGACGAACTATTCAAGGGAAACGTCCCCCAACAAAGCGAGAGTTTCTAAGCACGTATATGGAGATAACAAATACGATCTGTTGGAACTCATCTCATTTTATTTGGTGTACCCCAAAATTGTGTTCCAGCAAATTTGGCGAACTGGGTGTCAGTAGGATGACCCCATATTTTAGGACGAATGAATTAGAGGGAAACGCTGGCGCCAACACATCCTTGACATCGAGGCATTTTTGATTAGAGGAAGTATAGGCAGCTTGTGGCGTTTCGGGTAAACGAAATTCTCGAGGTAAACCAGCTGGAGGACTGGCGATGGGTCTTGTCATGACAAAAGAGGATAATGATCCGTGGATCCGACTTTAGCACCGGAAGGTTGGCCGACTGAGACGATCGACAAAGAAAATAGGGCTGATGCTGAGTTGAAAGCACATGCTCCAAAAAAAATTTTGAGTCGTGTCCAGCTTATCGACCCAATCCGCTTCTCTTTTTGGAGCATACGTCGCTGGACCTAAGTCGAAAGGCTTGAATTGTTCTTCCAATGAGTCAGCATTTTCGTTAGCTATTTCATAAATTTGATCGAAACATGGGAAGCTTTTAAAGCGACTGACGCTTAATTCCACGAGTGTATTTCCATAGTTCAAAGCATCTATCAGCATCAAGATCTATAGCACTAAGTTGGCGAAGGAAAAAGTCTGCCACAGCATCTCAATGCGCTTTTCTCAATAGAATTTTAAAAACTGTCAAATCTTATGGTGACGTATACGCTTCCAGCGTCGCCGAAGTGATCGCACCCTTGGTTAACAGTAAATAGCCAAATCAATTGCAGTCCGTAGCTAAGACTTACAGACTAGAAGACATTACTTGATCTAGAAGCTCAACACCTCTCGGGGACGAGTGGATGCAACCGCAATCCTGCTATGATGAATCGGTTGGGAAATCCACTGGTCAAAAGTCCTAAGCAGACCAAGAAAACGATGGAGGGCAGTAGATATATTAAAATGTAAACTACTGCTGAAATTCATTAATAAGCATAACGTCAATTGAATTCATGTTAAAGTAGTGCTCTATCTCGATGTTTGCCAGTGATTAGCTTGGAGGCCACTAAGGTCTTCCAGGTTATGCGAGAGGGGTTTGGAGGCCACTTAGGTCTTCCAGGTGATGAGAGAAAGCTTGGAGGCCACTTAGGTCTTCCAGGTTATGCGAGAGGGGTTTGGAGGCCACTTAGGTCTTCCATGTTATGAGCGAAAGTTTGGAGGCCACTTAGGGGTTCTAGTGTACGAGACGAGTCGCACCCCACTGCGGGTCTGCGAAGGTTAGCTCGGCGAGCCGACTGGGACAGGAGCGGGTGATCGACTCGGTGAACCGAGTGATGGCTCGAGATTGGGGTCGGCTGCCACTGATGGCGGCTTCTTCCCTCGAAGTCGGGAGTGGGTGGTGGAATCCCCAAGATCGTCTGTCACTGATGACGGTCGGTCTTTCTGGGATTACGTAAAGGGAGGAAGGGGAAGGTAAGCTAACTACAATGTATTTGGACGGGGTACTAGACCCTATCCAAAAAAAAGACTCCACTTTTAACTCCCAGAGAGGTTGCTCACACCCAAGCGTAAGGCTCACCTTCTCCGATTTATTTAATTATATTGTGCGCTCTGGAGCGTCACAAGCTGGCACCAGATCGAGGAGTAAGTTTCGCCATCAGAGGGACACGCCCTAAGTGTAGAAGGTCCAGCTGCCTTGATAAGATCAGTAACACCCTTTATTGTAAAGGATGGAAGGCGCGGTCCAGGCTTCAATATATTTGGAGGGGAACATCAGAATTTATCTTAGAAATCTTAGATGGCTGATGACCAGTAGTGGGCTTTGATGGGGAATCCAGAGTGTGCATAGACTCACTAGGAAGAGCGTCTTCAAATTCTTCATCAGATAAAACCGCGAATATTTTTGGGTAAGAGTCCAAGTCTCTGATTTAAATTGTTTAATAGTAATCTTGCAATAAAGATCACCAGATTAGAGCGCAACTGATCAGCATCTGTTTGACCAATGAAGTCAGGGGTCATAGAAAGGCCAGAGATGGAATCAGGTGTATTTGCATCACGTACGCCATTATGAATTTAATCAAATCCAAATAAAAGAATAACATTATCCTCTAAACTGTCCTTCAAATTTTCTTTAGAGCTTTTAAGAAGAGCAAGAAGTTTCAGGAATGGTGTCTAAAATGCGTTTAGAATCAAATCTTTGCATCCTAGCCTCCTTGGGCCTGACAGAGGTCACCCTTGTACCAAGTTTTTATGGTTATCGATGGTATAAAAGCTTCTGTAAAAATTTAAACTAGTCAAATCACAATTTTCTAATTGCCACTACTGTACAGCTGCTTTGAAAATATTTGGGTCTATTCTAGTCTGAGAACCGAAATAATGTCCCTTACCTTTTTAAAATCTGTTTAATAATTATACAATCCGACTTCAAAACTTACAAAAATACCTTAAGGTTGAAAATGTTATCCAAAAATCACGACACATCAATTACTGATTGAGGTTTTAAAGTGGAGGGAATAGAAAAATTCCCAAAATGATGCACAAAAATTAAAATGAAATCTATTAATTTAAAACTGTCGGAGTATGTAAATGGTAATTAAGCGATTTTGGCATACTGGGAGTATTTTTGAGGCGAATCCTACTTTATAACGGGCGATGGTAAAGAGTTCAATTTTACTTTATATATTATATATATGGAAAATATGATTTGGTTTACAGGGTATTTTCTTTTTTGGTGTGCTCTGGTTTGACAATGTTTTAAATTGCAGAGTATGCTTTATTAAAATCAAATTGTGCACGGTCAGCTGTTTGAGCGCAAACGCAAGTTGTTGCCGCCTAAAGAACATGTTTCTTTCGTAGGCTCATTAGTGCCCAGTGCAAAGGACTTGCACTTGTGTAACCATGAGCCATCTGGTTGCCTCGATAAGCTCAATGGATATGGGGTAGATTCTTTATTTCCCACAAACTTTGAAAGAGCTTGATCGTAGCAGGATCGCTGGTATTTCGTTGGTTCAGCGCGAGTCATGCAAACTGATCAACACTACAGTGTTGCGTTACCACCCCATTGAATTGGTTTAAATTCGGAATACTTGGCCTTGATTAATGTCAAATTAAAGATAAAAGTTCCATGAGTTACATCTCTGTTTCTATTAAAAATATGAACATATTTATGTATAGACAACTCGTTTTAGTAATTGTTTTCGTAATTCTTAAACAATTAATTATATGTAAAATAAAAACTTCATACTAAAATGAAGACCGGGGCATAACTAATTAAAATACCAACCTAATCCGAATAAAAACCATTTGTTTTCAAAAAATATTTTCTATTTCGGATGTGAAAGATAAATGCCTAAATTCCTTAATTTGTAAATGGCCGAACAGACAAAAGAAATTTCGTGCAAACAATTTCGGGCAGGCGAAGAATATACATATGTAAATAAGAACTTCAGTGGGTCGTAAATCCTTCTTTCTATATGTAATATGCTTTTGTGGCCGTAAGGAACAAATTATTTTAACATTGCACCATATTTAAATAGAAAGGCATACAAATAAAATAACATTATATTTGGCATGATTTTTTTGTATATTTTAATAAATAGATAATATTTTCTTCGTTTTCCAAGATGTTGCACAAATCGTTTGTCAATTAGGTTCTGGAAATGACACCTATTCTTTAAAACTTTGTAAGATAAGGTCATGCCCTTTTCTTGTAAATACCTTTTTATGTTTATATAATTTTTACTTATAATAAAAAAAAAAAAAAAAAGTGTATTTTGGATATCTTGTTTTGTGGGCAAAACGGAAGCTGAAATAACTTATTGCATTTCTGCTAAACTCGGTTAACATTTTTGTGATGACGTTCAAGAACATATTTACATTCCTAATCTTCCTGTACAAAACTAATTCTAATACGAACTCAGTATAGAATTGTCAGTGAACCAATCCTAAAATTTTATTATTTTTAAATGTTGTAGTTTGAAACTTTGCCTGACCTTTTTTTAGTTCAAAAATTTTAACAACGTTTTTTATTAATCAATAATAATTAAACTTTTATTTCATTTAGGCTTTTGCGTGGTTTAGCGATTTGCTGGTTGAACACGCGGAGATATTCTGGTCCCTCTTTGCGGTTGATATGGACAGAGTCTTATCAGAGCAGGCTCCTGACACATGGGATTCTTTTCCATTATTTCAAATTTTAAATGACTATTTAAGAGCTGATGGTGAGTATTTAATCTAGCTTTACCAATAGTTATAAATTTGTTTAATCTGGAAGAATCACAGCAGAAAATGCTGTCTTTCGCTACAATCCTTGAAGTCAAATTTTTATACCCTTGCAGAGGGTATTATAATTTTGGTCAAAAGTGTACAATCCTTGAAGTCAAATTTTTATACCCTTGCAGAGGGTATTATAATTTTGGTCAAAAGTGTGCAACGCAGTGAAGGAGACATCTCCGACCCTATAAAGTATATATATTCTTGATCAGGATCACCTCCTGAGTTGATATAGCCATGTCCGTCTGTCCGTCTGTCCCTCTGTCTGTCCGTCTGTCTGTTTCTATGCGAACTAGTCTCTCAGTTTTAAAGATATCGAATTGAAACTTTGCACACACCCTTCTTTCCTTTGCACGCAGTATATAAGTCGGAACGGCCGGGATCGGCCGACTATATCCTATAGCTGCCATATAACTGATTGATCGGAAATGCCATAACTCTGATGTTTGTTAAGTTAGGAAGTTGGGACTCTCTATGGGTTTTATATTTGGCCAATCAATTCCACGTACCAAATTTCATAAGGATCGGCCGACTATATCCTATAGCTGCTATATAACTGATTGATCGGAAATGCCATAACTTTGGTGTTTGCAAAGTTAGGAAGTTGGGACTCTCTATGGGTATTATATTTGGCCAATTAATCCGACCTAACAAATTTCATAAGGATCGGCCGACTATATCTTATAGCTGCCATATAACTGATTGATCGGAAATGAAATAACTTTGGTGTTTGAAAAGTTAGAAAGTTAGGATTTCCTATGGGTATTATTTTTGGCCAATTAATCCGACCTACCAAATTTCATATGGATCGGCCGACTATATCCTGTAGCTGCCATATAACTGAACGATTGGAAATGCCATAACTTTGGTGATTTTAAAGTTAGGAAGGTGGGATTTTTTATGAGTATTAAGAATGCATCATATAAATAATTTTGGAGAATATAATTTGCAGAATATTCTGCAAGGGTATTTCAACTTCGGCTCCGCCCGAAGCTAGCTTTCCTTTCTTGTTTGAACATTTTTTTACTAAAAACAAGAAAGGAAAGCTAACTTCGGGCGGAGCCGAAGTTGATATACCCTATATATTCTTCAAAATTATTCATAAGATGCATTCTTAATACTCATAAAAAACCCCAACTTCCTAACTTTAAAAACACCAAAGTTATGGCATTTTCAATCGTTCAGTTATATGGCAGCTATAGGATATAGTCGGCCGATCCTTATAAAATTTGGTAAGTCGGATTGATTGGCTAAAAATAAAATCTATAGAAAATCTCAACTTCCTAACTTTACAAACACCAAAGTTATGGCATTTCCGATCGTTCAGTTATATGACAGCTATAGGATATAGTCGGCCGATCCCGGCCGTTCCGACTTATGTACTGCGTGCAAAGGAACGAAGGGTGTGTGCAAAGTTTCAATTCGATATCTTTAAAACTGAGAGACTAGTTCGCGTAGAAACAGACAGACGGGCATGGCTATATCAACTCAGGAGGCGATCCTGATCAAGAATATATATACTTTATAGGGTCGGAGATGTCTCCTTCACTGCGTTACAAACTTCTGACCAAAATTATAATATCCTCTGCAAGGGTATAACAATATAATGAGTTGTTAACATGGTTCACTTGGGATAGCGCAATGTCAAGTAAGCCGTCAATAAAGTCATGCTGCGCTAAAGGAAGTAAAATGTTATAGTTTTCGTCAGGGGACCATGTCGGACTAGGTATATTAAAATCACCCAATACTATTAACTGATCTCGATCTGACAGTTTTTTGGAAATGGACTGAATAACGGAAAGGTGATTTGCGTAAATAGGGAACTCAGATGATGGTGGGATATATGAACAAGTAATATATACAAAACTACATTGAAACGATAATTTTATACCTAGGAATTCGATGTCATAAAATTCTTCGAAAGTTAGTAATTCAGACGAAAAGGTGGAGTCGACAGCAATCAGGACTCCACCTCCCCGTCTGGACTGACGATCAAGCCTATAAATTGTGTACTTACCCGGGAGAATTTCGGAGCTAAGAATATCCGGCCTTAACCAGGTCTCTGTACATACCATAATATTATATGGGAAAGAAAAACTATCCGAATACAATTTAGTCAGCTTACTAAGTAAGCCTCTTGTATTCTGATAGCAAAGAAGAAAAGAGGAGGCTAGTTTTTTGGGACAATCTGATCTGGATAATTTTCAAAACTGGTGCCGAGAATAATTTACTGAATTTAGCTGATGACTTTTTTTCGGGTCAATCCGATATACGCGACTTACACATTAAGCGGCAGCTCTTTGGATAAACGATCTTGGCGTTCTCTTGGACCCTAAACTAAAATTTTCAAACCACATTTCGTCCATGGTTAATAAAGCCTTGGAGGAGTGCTTGGATAAAAGGTGGTCAAAAGAATTCGATGATCTTTATTTGACTAAAACTTTATTTATTTCACTAATATGGTCGTATTGGATCAGTACAAAAAAACTTTCTTCTTTTTGCTTTACGGCGCTCCTAAAACGATTAATACTTGCTTAATTGGCACAAAATTTATCTTACTATTTATTACTTTACCCAGACTTTTACATATATTTTCTTATCTCGCGTCTATCTTCTCGCGAATCGTGCCGTACGATACACGGCTGCGCCCCTCGGGTAAGTGGGCCGTGGGACTCCGCGCGAAAAAAAAAGAACTACCGATGCCGGGCGCTGAGTAACTGCAGTGGATGTTGTTATGTTGGTTGTTGTTAGTGTCGAAGCCACAGTTGTAAATACGGGCATTGTGCTGGTAGTTGTTGTTATATTGTTGGTAAGGTCGTAGGGGTCGGGGGACGGGCATTGGGCACTCCACGGCTCATTCGGTGCTGTGTTGCTTGGGCATAGTAAAGTATGGGAGAGCGAGCGCGCTCTCGCAGTGTTTACTTGCAATGCTGCAGTTTTGGTTGGTGCGGTTGACTCATCAGATCGTATACAGAAGTAAGCGTTATTTTTTATTGACGAAAGTCGACGTTCGTCTTGTTGTTGCTGTCGAGCTGTGCTCATTTTAATTAATTTTCGCATCTTGCGCTCTGACACGTTGGCTTTTAATTTTTTATTTTATCGTTTATATTAGTAATTTCTTACTCTAATTATACCCGTTACTTGTAGAGTAAAAGGGTATATTGTATTCGTGCAAAAGTATGTAACAGGTAGAAGGAAGCGTTTCCGACCCTATAAAGTATATATATTCTTGTTCAGGATCACTAGCCGAGTTGATCTAGCCATGTCCGTCTGTCCGTCTGTCTGTCTGTCCGTATGAACGCTGAGATCTCGGAAACTATAAAAGCTAGAAGATTGGCATTTTGCATGTAGATTTTAGGATTTCCTACGCAGCGCAGCTGGCCAAGGTGCTAATTCGAGCGACGAAAAACATACAAGAAGGCATATTTATATTAAGTTGTTTAGCTGAGTAGCGGGTATCTAATAGTCGAGGCACTCACAACAGCATCGTGATTAACTTGTGTTTATAAAATAAAACGTTTTAATCATTATTTCGAAGCTGTTTTCTTATTGTTTTTCTATTGCCTCCCTTTTGAATTCCTTCTCTTCGTCGTTGGATGCTGTTGGAACGGCATCGTTCCATCTCGTTTCGAGGTGCCAAAAAGTTCTTGAGTGCTTTAATTTTAGTACGCTATAATGGCTTTTTTCACAAAAAGCTGTGTAACGGACTTAATCCGCAACCTGCTTGTGGCGCTTGAATTGCAGGTCTAGTCGCATGCTATCTGAGCCCGATTCTGTGGCAGATGCCGTGCAACCCGCCGCAAAGTAAAGTAGTAGCCCCAACACCTCATGTTGACTTAACGTGTGGATTACCGGCCGTTACTGGTAGTACAGATACCAATTCTGGAGTAAGGTCGCATGTGTGGTACCATAAACGGTAACAGGTATTTGGGTGCCACAGCTAAAACATGTTTTTGTTTTACGTCCGTCCCAGACCTCACATCAATGGATATTACGGCTTATATCCGTAACAAAGTTGATAAGTTTGAGATTGACCGATTTCAATTTTATATACTAGGAAAGTATTATTTAAGATTGGTATTTCTTGTGCTCATTTTGCATCTGTGTGTTCCGCCAGTTTCTGGCTTGAGGGCATATTTTATTTTACAAATACGGAGCTAAGAGAAAAAAAAATAGTTGAGGGGAAATGGAAAATACCATTCAATAACCATCCCCAGAGCCATACACATTCTCTTCTGCTCCAAAAAAACTAGCCCCTCCTTTTTTTTCCTATCAGAATACAATAGGCTTACTTAGTAAGCTGTCTACATTTTTCCGGGTAAGTACACAATTTACAGGCATGCTCGTCAGTCCAGACGGGGAGGTGTAGTCTCGATTACTGTCGACTGAACCCTGAATTACTAACTTTCGAAGAATTTAATGACAGGTATAAAATGATCGTTTCCCGGTAGTACTAATAATATTTTACTCTAATATTTTACTTCCTTTACCGCAGCATGACTTTATTGACGGCTTACTTGACATTGCGCTATCCTAAGTAAACCATGTTAAAAACTCCTTAGGACGTTAACTGGACTTGTGTTTTGTTTCCAATCCAGAAGTCGTTTGTCTATTAAGAACGTCACCACTTACACAACCGTATGATCCCTATCATCCTACTCTAGAGCTGACTGTAGATGCGAGAACAGAGCTAAATAAAAAATACGAAAAGTCTGTTAAACGAATCCGTAAGGCAAACTTTCATCGTTAAAATACTTTTATATCCGGATATGACTGGTGCGAACTTTATTCATGCACTAACATGGCTGAGGCCGTTAATATCTTTTATAATGCATTGAACTTCTTTTATCTGTGTGTTCCGTTATAATATCCGTCAATTTCAAATAAGCCTCCATTGTTTAATAAGGAGTTGCCACACTTACAAAATGTTAAGTCCAGACTTTACAAT